CCACCCCGGCTTCGTCCGTATTTGGACTTTTTAATTGTTTCACTCTTTACTCATTTCACTCCTTAATTAAATTGTTTCTGAATTTCTAAACAGGAGACAACCTTCTTCAAAAATTTAAATATCGAACAAAATTTTTTTAACCCCTTTCCGATTGACTTTTGCATACTATGTACTTATATTGGTTTCAATTACCTTGTTATTTTTGTGATTTTGAATTTTTAAACAGGTGGTAGGTAACCTTCATAAAAAACGATTTGGAAACAAAACTTCGTCTAACTGGATACCCATATTAAAATATTTCGTTTAAAGTGTTAATTAAATCGATTTTTAATTTTTAAACAGATGGCAACCCTCTTCAAAAATATTTTATAAATTAAGTCTTTTTGCACCTTTCTCGGCTGATACTATATTAAAATATTTGATTCAACTTGTTTATTAAATCGATTTTGAATCTCTAAATAGGTGGCAACCCTCTTAATAAATATTTTCGAAATGAATCTCTCTTAAAACTAGTGCGTTTGATAGCCATATTAAAATATTTTGTTAAGCTGATTACTTAAATCGAGATTGTATTTCTAAACAGGTGGCATCCCTCTTAAAAAATGTTTTCCAATAAAAATGTTAACCCCTCTCGTTTGACATGCACGTTGTTGTAATATTTTGTTTAATAGTTAATTAACAGTGAATTCACCGCTTCATGATTTACGAAAGCAAATTATATAAAAATATTTTGTTTTAATAATATCTCACTTAAATTGCTAATGAAGCCGGCAGTAAGATGTGGCATATCTCTTATAACATGTTAGGTCGGCTGCCACCATGGGCCCGTTTTCGTGCCGTACAAGAGACTCCATATGTCCCTCCTCTTACCCTAGTAATGGAACCACTTCGTAGCTCTGATGAAGCGCACAAAGTCATAGACGCTGGGTGAATCCAGTTCGGTCAGACATTCAAAAGAATAATGGAGGAACGAGCGTCGGCGAGCTCTCGCCAGAGCAGGACAGTGGCATATTATAACATGTACAAGTGTGAATTTCATTTCAATACGTCCAGACGTTTTGGTGAGCAAGAGCAAAACAATATAATCACACGCTGACACACTCACTCACGAACTTTCACATTTATAAATTATAAAACTCGTATTAATAGTACTCCCACATTTCACTATTATTTTGTATCTTAAATCCTAAGTTGGCACGGCCAGCGGTAGAGTAAAACATAACCAAGAAAATGCATTAAATTATACCCAAAACCTATACCACTTCAAAACCGCATCCTTTACACTTGACATTGAAATAGTTTGCGTTCTCTCATTGCCAATTTTCACATTTGCAGACATACAAAGTTTTTTTTGAGAGCCCGCCTCATTGCGTGCTGCCATCTACAGGTTCGCACGCCTCACGGTAGGCAATGCTACCAGTTCCTCCTTACATCCATACATATACATATATGCATGTAAGTGATATGCAATCTTTGTTGTTTGCTTCTTGTCAATTATTATTTTTGTTGTGTTTTTCCTTCTTCATATTGTTACTTGTAGATTTCCCTTTTTCTTGCTCGCTTGATATGTTAAGGAAATTGAATTTTGTCGAATTTTGTGAATTTTCCAATTCTTCATCTGTTGAGCTTATTCGATTTGTTGCTCGAATTTTCGGTGTACTATATATACTAGATATGTTTCTGCTAATCCTACGCAGCTTGCAAGCATACAATTTTCCAATTTTCCTTTGCTAGACAAGTAAATATGATTTATGGTTAACGAGGATATCAATGCCAGCAGGCGTTGCAGGTTTAAAACCTAAAGCATTTATTGTATCACTACGAGTATTAGGATTTTGTTGTTAATATTTGTTATGCAGTTTTTTGAAAGCATGCATTAAGCTGTCTTTCACTGAACTATGCCATTAAAGTATGAAATGAAATAATATTTGTTTCGGAGCGAGATATGGATTACCGAAGTTACGAAAATTCAATTGTCAAAATGAAATTGGTTCTCTTAGATCTATTTGAGTATAGTCGAAGAAGTTGGGCAGCGTACTCGGCCATGAATCCGGCTTATAAGGCATTGAGATATGTGGCAACCTAAATCGTATTTCGCATAGACTCTAGATAAAGCGATTTGGCTAAAACAATGAAATCCCTGTTCAAACAGGCGTCCATATTTTGAGTATCTGGAATTAGTGGAGATCCGAAGGTAACTAAATGGTGAAATAAACCGATTTGAAGCAACTATAAGACAGGAAAATGCTGCTTATCGCGGTGAAATTGGGGCCGTATATTTGAAAGATCTCTAAGCAAGTGTTTAACAAGAACTTGGCAATCGAGGACCCTCTGGGGAGAGTAGATGGCCTACTTATGCGCACGGAAGAGGAGCAGCTTGCCAGATGTAATAACCACTTTTCGTCAATTCAGAACCACATTTTATTTGCCGAAGTTTCGACATTTTCTCAAGGAAGCCAGATGCGCCCACTGTCTCTGAACTGACTACTGCTATCAAATCGCTTCTAACAAAAAAGGCAGCGGAGTCCCATGAAATACGAGCGGAGTTTTTCAAAGTTTGCTCAAACGTAGAATTGCCTGGCATAGTGCTTCCCAGATGAGTGGACTGTTGGCATTATTATCAACGACTTGACTTACGTGGTATCCACGGTTTGTCTGCGGTGAAACAGGTAATTGAAAAGGTAATCTTGAAACGCTTAGGACAACATCTATATACTGCTATTAGTAACTCGACTTTCGCGCAGTGAGCATCATTATCGAGCAGTGTACCGAATTTTGAGCTGATCTGCATTTGATGTGTACCGGTTTCGAATTGGCTTTCGATAGTGTTCCCAAAGAGTGCTTACGATGGAGGTAGATATCTGAGACCTTCGAAATTTACAGCGGGGTTCGACAAAGTTGCACCTCTCATCTCTCACTTCGGTGGTCTATTTTTAGTTACCTGAAACATTTCCACTACGCTGACGATACAAGTCTTTTGGCGCATCGTTCTTCTAAAGGGGCGGAAGATCTGGGTCTTCAAGTTTAATAAGATCCAGGTTTTAGTATGCCAGCGAGGTGTTGTGGTGACATAGTAGACTCCGACCAAAGTCTGGAGATTGTGAGGAATTTCATATGGATTCGGAGACAGAAATGAAAGTGGACAGACCACAAAAGACGGCAGTATTGCAATTGAAACGAAGAAGAAAGTCACAGGGCTATTGTTGCAGCCTCATATATGCATAAGTTATTTCATTTGGAGCGCTTAAACTTGGCTGCTTACATAAATGCACGTATGTATATATGTTGTATATTAGGGTGGTCCAAATTTTTTTCCTCCAACTACCCCCAAATTTGAAGAATATCAGAAATAAGGAGACACGTATTTTTTTACTTCGAAATTGGTTGGTTCGAATTGGTTGGGAATTGGCCGCCGGGGCTTGAAGTTTCTCATGCATTTTACATGGGTTAAATAAATTTTTTCGTAGAATTACCTGACTATGACGAGATACGAATGGCAATAACACAGCTGAAAAACAACAAAGCTGCTGGAGCTGACAGCCTGCCAGCTGAGGTATTCAAGTACGGCGACGAGGAGTTGATAAGGTGCATGCATCAACTCTTATGGTCATATGAGCAGATGAACGCATGCCCGACGACTGGAATTTAAGTGTGCTCTGCCCAATCCACAAGAAAGGAGACCTCGCCATATTCGCGCAAACTACCGCGGCATCAGCCTTCTAAGCATAGGTTACAAGGCATTACCGAGCGTATTATGTGAAAGACTTAATCTCACCATCAACGAACTCATTGGGCCTATCAGTGTGGCTTTAGCCTTGGAAAATCCACTATAGATCAGGTATTCACAATACGCAAAATCTTGGAAAAGACCCGCGAGAAAAGGGCCGACACTCACCACTTATTTTTCGACTTTAAAGCTGCTTTCAACGCCACTAGAAGGAGTTGCCTATACGCCGCTATGTCGGAATTTGGCATCTCCGCCAAACTGATACGGCTATGTAAAGTGACGTTGAGTAACACCACCACTCCGTCAGAATTGGAAAAGACCTCTCCGAGCCGTTCGCCACCAAACGAGGTTTCAGACATGGCGACTCCCTTTCATGTGACTTCTTTAATCTGATGTTGGAGAAGATAATAAGAGCTGCAGAACTGAACCGCTCAGCACCAATTTACTGCAAGAGCGTGAAATTGCTGGCTTATGGACATGACCTTGTCATCATCGGTAACAAAAACCGCGCAGTCTGTTCTGCCTTTTCCAAGTTGAATAAGGAAGCAAATCAAATGGGTCTGGTCTCCTGTCATCAAACAAATAGTCAGCACATTCGCGCCTGCATTAACAGCGTTTATAATGTCAGCATGGAAATCCAACGCATAATGACTCTTGCCAAAAAGTGCTACTTTGGATTGAGTAGGCAATTCAGGAGTAAAGTCCTGTCTCGTCGTACAAGAATCACACTCTATAAGTCACTCATTATGCCCGTGCTGGTATATGGCGCAGATGCATGGACAATGACAACATCCGATGAGGCGGCTATTGGAGTATTCGAGAGAAGGATTTTGCAGAAGATTTACGGGCCTTTACGCGTTGGCGACAGTGAGTACTGCAGACGATGGAATGATGAGCTGTATGAGCTTTACAACGACATGGACTTAGTGCAGCGAATTGAAATACAGCGGATCCGCTGGCTTGGTCATGTCGTTCGAATGGACACCGCGCTCCTTATATTTGATATTCTTCAGTTCTGGGGGTAGCAGCAGGAAAAATCAAAAGAGTTAATTTTCCTTTGTATTTATGGACCTCCCTAATGAATAAACATACATCCAGAGAGCTGATGGCTTCTTATTGTACCTACATAGTCGCAAATTAAGAGAAACCCAAGCATTGCCAACTTGAGTTCGATATCTCTTCTAGTATTAAACAAAAAGCAACCATATTTTATTACAAATAATTTTTTCTAATATTAATATAGAATTCTGTTATATGCAGACTATATTTTAGCACCAAAAACAACAAAATATTATCACAATTTTCATAACAAAAACTAAGAACTAAACGAACTTAACACATGTTTTTTTTAGTTCTCTAGATTTTACCATGGGTGTCCTCCTGACTCCGAAAATTCCATCTCTATTTACTCCTTCGTTTCTGCGGCACCCTGAATTCCTACATTCTTCAGTTTCGGAGCGAACATTCCCCAAATATGCTCTTGAAGACGCTGCGTCTCATTGTTCAAACCACCATCGCAGATCAGATGCCGAGCACAACATTGCTGGAAGGGTGCATTTTTGTCAACATAATCGCCCCACTTACAGCCATCTGGCGCACCAACTGAGCCGCAACTGTAAATGTAAGAAAATTTAGCAATATGAATGAATGAAACATAAAATACAAAAAGATATTATCTATATACACGGTACCATTCGTACCGATTTTGGCGGGACTGTACCGATTTTGAGAAAATTGTCCCGCTGAATATTTTTTAAGATTCAGGACGTATAAGTGTCCCGATTTTTCCTATGGTCCAAGTTGTTGTATGTTTAAAGTACCGGTAAACGTAGTTTAATTTAAAGAATCAACACTTTTAACAATATTGCCGTGCTTCACTCGAAAAAATAAAAATCGAAATATAATAAACTCACCCAACAATACGCGCATCTCCCTCTGCATTGCCGCAATGAATCTGAGCGCATTGAGTTGGAGATTTCACAGACTCGCCAGGCGAGATGATCAATGTTTCGGTGATGGCACACTTGCCGGGATGCGCTGGCGGTAAAGTGAAAAAGAATTCAAAATTATATAGAAACACAAATATTTCCAACTACCCACCATCATTATGATAATTGCCACGCGCTACCCAAGCATCCGCCAGCATTAGACGATTGCCCAAACCGATGCCGCTAAGATAGAGCAGCGCTGTCAATAACCAAAATTTCTCGAAATGCAGCTGCATTATTAGAAAAAATCTACCTTTCGTGTGATGCGTTATTTTCCAAGTGAACGTAGCAACTAAATTGGCACACAAAGTTGTCGCCTATTTAAAAAGGCAAAGCGCCTGCATTTACATACATATGTTTTTGTATGTATGTATGTACATATGTTTATTTGGAGCTGTGTGTACGCCTTTAAGATCTTGCTATAGATTCGTGTGATGAGCAAATCCAGCGAAAGTCAAAAATATGTTTGAAAGTACCTACTATTGAGCGAAAGTAGAAATTGAACTGAAGAGTCAGCATCAGCTGTAAACTGCAGTGGGCGAGCTTGTTGAATAATCATGATGGTGAGCAGTGCACATTGCATATGACTTTGGAATGAATATTAAACAAGCTGACTGAATGCTGATCGCGTTAAGCGCATTTGCTCTCGTGTGCAGAATAGAGCGATCTGAGCGTGTTGGATGTGGGCGCATGTTATTTATAGTCGTTTAGAAAAAAATATTTATGTTCTTTTTTGTTTTGATTTGTTTACTTGTGTACTTATGTACATTAGGGTGGTTCTTAAATGTAGGAATAAAATTTTTACATCATATTTCCTAGGCCTCAACCCCTACGTCGATCCTGCTATAGTCGCAGATATCACATATAAATTTTGGTCCTGATTGGAGTCGGTTAAGGCATGTCGCGCAGGGGTCAAACTTCAGATTACCCTATGTAAACTTGTTAACCGACCGCAATCGAGACCACAATTTCCATGTGATATCTTCGACTTTAGTTATATCGATTTTGGGTGTTAAATGGAAAAAAAATATTTTTAATTTTTTGAGTTTCCATAGAGGCTTCTGGCCTTTGATGCCTCTGCGACACGCCTTAAACGACTCCAATCAGGAGCAAAATATATATGTGATATCTTCAACTATAGTAGCATTGACGTAGGGGTTGAGGCTTAGGAAATATGATGTAAAAATTTGCTTCCTATATTTAAGGGCCACCGTAAAGTACATACATATGTATGTATTTCTATTACAAAGCGAAATATTTGTTGGCAGAGTACAACTTTTGATTTTATTGAAATGAATAATTAATTTAAAAAGAAAAATAAAGGGTTTACCGATGCACACGATCAATTAGATTTTAATTTTAATCAAAATATTTACTACTCGAATACAGAATTTAAAAAAAAAAAACTTAAAAAAATGACCATAAATAACTACAAATATGTAGTTGGTAGAGAAAAAGTACCAGCAGACGTTACAGATTGACATTACGATTAAAAAGGCAATTCTGGCAACTATCTTTCATCTCACCACAGTCTTTCTAAAGTCAAAAGTCTTTCGTAAAACGTTTTTCAATTGTGCCATCTTGAAAGCACTCTTCTGACTAACTGAAAGATCTTCTAACGAGGAGGTATTAGCGTTATACTGTTCGCCTTTTTGCAATTAAATTAGAGGATTAAAAATAAAAAGAAGAAAATAGTATATACTTTAAAATTAACTGAAATTAAAAAACGCTTTTTACTTTTAAATAAGTATAAAATAAATTAAAGAAAATTATATTAAAAAATAAGTAAAATTACATATTAAAAAAATTAAATAAGATCATAACAAATATTTTTCATTATTTCTGTTGCTCGAAAAACTCTTACTGTAATTTTTTTTTGAAGAAATAAATATACAAACATTTTTTTTCTTGAGAGCTGCAAACTGCTTTAAGAACTTTTGATAAAAGAAAATTTCTTTCCATTTCTTGTCCGTCATTTTAAATGAATTTCTCGGTTTTCTTAAGAGCTGGAAACAGCCCTTTAAAGTATAAAATTTAAAACCAAAAAGGAAATTATAACGGAAAAAAAAAAAAATATTAAAAAAAAAATATAAAAAAATTAAATACGTTTATATAAATTTAATGAAATTAAAAAATATGCAAATACATACATATTTTCTTTTTAAGCCAATAAAATCTAATAATTATGATAGAGCTTTTTTTCTAAAGCTTTGGTACTAGAATATAAAAAGTTTTTCGGACTATGTATCTTGCCATCAATTTTTCATTTGTCCTAAGTACGAAAGACTTTTTACTATCTTAGCCAGAATTGCCCTGTTAGGGTGAAAACAGAAAGAAGCCGAGTGCATCCTTGAAATCGTAAGTATTTAAAATTAGAATCACTTTTATGAAAGCTTCATCATAGATATTTATTGAGGTATGCACTCCGACCAGGAGCCCTCCTACTCCTTACAACACCTCGCTCAGTCTTAACTGCCTTAAGGAATCCAATGAGTTATTTGGCTGCATAGAGTGTATGTGATTTGGCTGCGGACTTAGTGTCACGAGGTACTTCTCTCGTCTTCATGTCTTGTGTGTGCTCATGAGTTTCAGCTGCATTGTCTCAGAAACGTTATAAATTGTTGGACAAGATCAAAAGTGCATGTATGTAGCTAATTTGTTCTTTGACAGGTTAATAAGCTTGTTATATATTTTCCTATTGTATTCTCCCAATAGCTTCAATGTCTGTCGCAGCTCAATGATTTGATTCCAGCGCTGTTCTCTAGTTGTTCTCTTTTCTCTCCTAAGCTTCTGTCTGATGGTGTGTGATCGTACTGCAAAGAAGGGCTTGGAGACTACCCGCCTATGCTAGGAATATACTTGGGAGTCCACAAATGTCAGCTGAGATTACCGTTCCGATTTCCTCGGGCGTTTTTGAACCGTCTGTGTAGCAAATTATAAGGCGCAGCTGCGAGTATTTCTTGATATATGCATTATCACAGCTTGCTTTATTCCTTAGCCTGACGGATTCCATTCGTTCATCTTTTATTATTTATTTAAAATTAGTACAAGAAGACTTAGTCTTTTGAAGTACAACAGCAATATATGTAACTAAACAGATTTAGTGGTAATATTAATATTAATGCAGGAAATAAAACAAAATATGCTATTAGATCTCAGTAAATAATATGTACAAACTAATAATTATGGACTAGATAAAAACTTAAATATTTATATGGTTCATCCACTAGAAGAGAAATAGTTATGGAGGGAAATTTTGAAGTTGCTTTTGATTCCATATTCCGAGATGATATCTACCACTTTTGCTTTTCCACAATTTTCTCTGGCACAATTTTTTTTTATCGATTGGCTGCCTGCTCTATGCTCAAATATCTCACTTCAAACTATGTCGAGTTCTGTGCCATAGAGAGCTATGGTTCTTATTATCGGTAGAGTCATCCTCCTCCATACATACGACATGTTAAAACCAACGCAATCGTTGTTGTTATTTTTAAGAATTTTACTAAATACATATATATCTATGTTATTAAAAATCTTTTGCAGTTCTTCGAAATCCATCACCTATACGAACCGAGCGATAGATCTTCCGACGTATAGTTCACTCGAAAACTCCTAAAGCCAGTACCATATAAAAAAAATATTCATTCGCCAATTTCGTCGGCAGAACAATACATAAAATTTTAAGTAGGCTTATCTTGTAAGTGTAGATTATCCACAGATTCCAATCTTCGGCCACCAGCTCTTCACCGCTAGATTCCTTTGGTTCTAGTGTCATTTGCTTTTGTTTTATATGGCATTTTTGCTGCTCTCGCCCTGCGCCATAGACGACTAAAGATCGTGTAGAAATGCCTCCTATATACACCAAGTGTACTTTGGGCATCTGTTACCAGATATTTTCATTGGCTCCATAAAGCTTTTAACAATTTAGAGGAATGAAATATGTATTTTTATACCGCTCGTGACTGCAAGAGATGATATTTATGGAGAAATACTATAAAATATAAGCTTATAAGTAAATATTTACATAGTTCTATTCGGGAAATCCCTTTGCATTTTAATGTATGCATGTATGTATACATATGCATACCAATCATTTGCATACATTCATATGTACATGCATATGCATACATTAGGGATGTTAATTTTTCATCTTTTTCCGATACCGGTATTTTCGGGATGTCGTTATCACAATCCCGGTATTAGTCCCGGGATTTAGACATTCATTACTTTCCAACAACTTAAATCGAAAGAATTGCTTCTATATTGTTTAAGAAGCTGTCCTACCATAAAATAAATAATAAATAAATCGGTTTGAAACCTACTTTTTTATTTAAAGTAGCGTTTTTATTTTTTCTCTCTGACTGCAGGATTTATTTTGAAGGACTTTGTTATTTAAAAAATTCAATGCAATGTAGAATAAAAATATGGGTACCAAATGCAAGAGGAAACTTCTCTAGAATTAAAAAAAATAAAATTTGTTGGATTCACAAGGACGAATAGGTAATTTTTTAAGCTGATAAAGTTAGAAGGATGAAATTCGGGGATGTTATTGAGGTTACATAAGTCTTTCAAAACATATAAGTTTTTCAAAAACATATATTGCGAAATTTCAAGGATAAAATTTTAAAAGGACATTTTCAATAATTACCAGTCCCTCCGCACCAAAAACTTTAATCTGTTTAAATTCTACAGGATTTCCTCTTTAGTTTGATACCCATACTTCTTCTCTAAGCACAGTTCACTGAATTCTTTAAATAATTTTTGAATTACTGACGTCAGGGTGAAAAACTAAATCCGCAATTTTACTACATATATTTGGCCCATGGTTTCGCGAATACATTGATATTTGTGTGTAAAATTTACTATCGCACGGTGTTATATATATAGTGAGCTAGACATTTATAACAAAATATTAATTATTAAATAAACAAGTAAGAAAGTCTAAGTTCGGGCGGAGCAGAACATTAAATACCCGGCGCAAGTATTAAATATATGTTTTTCACCTTTCCGAAATTAGCGTCCTTAAATTTCGAAATATTGAAGTTTCAAGCCTTTCTGAAATTTACCGTTATATGAAAAGCGGCCATAATTTCAGTTCGATTTGAACAATTTTCAACGTTTTGCTTTTATGTGGCAAGCACAATAACCATACCGAGTATGGTACAAATTGGTAGAGGGGCTACCGAGATAAGTGGGCGGTGCCACGCCCATTTTCCAAAATTTTATCATAAACGTATTTCT